GTCTTCATTTCAACTAATCGCTGATGAAAAGTGTTATTAGAAATCCATTCTCTACATGTTCATCTATCACGGGTCTCATTAAGTTAAACATGTATAAGATCCACAAGAGCAAACCTGCTCCCTGTGAATTCAAACTTTTACTTATGTCGTACTTTTGTCTACATCTCATCAGTTATGTCACACCTATCTTCCACAACTATAACACCTGCAACTAAATCCCTGACTTGGGGAGTGTGCACAGGAGCAACATGCGTGAACGAACGTATAAACTATTGACAATTATTGAGAATAAAATCAGTAATTTTAGCTCCCCAAAGCCATCACCTGTAACTTGTTATTTTCGTTGACTACACCCCCACTCCTGTGCATTTTTAAACCTCCATTAATCTTCTTATCTGCATTTCGGGTTTTCTAGCTTCTTTATCACTCCCTTTTTTCTCTCTCTCTGTTATACACTCTCTCTTCTCTCCCTGTTTCTGCCTCCCCTTCTCTCTCTCTCCCAGTCGCTCACTGCAGCTCCGTTGCTCAGCCTTGCTCTGAAATACTCCCGTTCACTCCGAGCCAAGGGGCCCTGCCACTAGCAGTCCATAAAGCACTCCAGTTCCATGCTGGCACTCAGTCATCCTATTCTTCAGCTCACAGTATGCTCTTCTTCCCCCGAGATGTAGAGAACACGAACTGTGTCTGTGTGTGCCTAGGTGTGTGTGTGTGCCTAGGTGCGTGTGTGTGATGGGGACTAGAACAGACATAAATAAAACGAAAGAAGGCAAAAGACACCCACTGTGCAACAAAGCACATTTTAACTACTCCACTTGCCTCAGACTACATGAGTCAGACTGTGATTAAAGACGTGTGACCTGGCTTCTTTCAAGGACGCATTTGACATTAGGCTTCTGCTGAGGTGGTTCCCCCAGGAAGTAGGTGCACTGCTGCACAAAGTCACATGCAGGCACCAGATTTCCTGCTTGAATGAAGGTGCACTTATCCTTGCTATTAGTCATGATAAACACCAACATGTTAACCTTAACCCGTGCCAAATGGCGAGGATTTATGCACCTTTGCAAAATACAAAGCTGCATAAATGTTAGTCTAACAACGAGCAACAAGTGCCACATAAATAAATGTAAAAAATGTTGCTGGTACTGGATGGGCCAAATGATCATGAGACAACAATATGTCACAATATGCATCAGGAAAGAACTAAAACTCTTCTGAATTGAAATCTCTTCTATGATCTGATTTCAATTCAGAGAGCTACAATCCAATTGATAAATAATTTGTTATGCACCCATGTGTTTTATTTCCAACTATGTTCTTATTGTGAGTCCACATGCACACTCAGATGAAATCAGTCCATTTGATTTGATAACAGAAGTAATCCAACAGGTAAATTGACGCTGCAAGTAGGCCTGTCGCGATAAGCAATTCATTGACTTATCGTACGATAAATAAAAATGAACTCGATAACTTTTCTGACCTCGATAAATTGCCGTTTAAATGCGTGTTTGTTTACATAAGGATGTGACCAGCATTTTAGCTCGGCGCGCTGTGTCTGCCGGCCACTCTACCGGCCCGGCTCACACACAGCCAGGTCAGGACACTCCGCGTGCAGCAGTGTAGCAGCCAAATTAATAATATAGAGACAAGCAGGAGACAACGTGTGACTTACTCGAGGGGAATTTGAAGTTAGATGGAATTGGTTGCAAAACCTAACTCCATCTCCGGTGTGGGAATATTTTTGGATTTAAGCCAAATCAACGAGGCGAACCTACGGACTTGAATGAGCCAGGCGGTGTCTCGCATTTGTTTTAAAAAGGTAGCAACAAAAGCTATCAATACGACCAGAGCCTACGACCAACCTTAAACTGCACCTGAAACACAACCACCCCATTCCGTTTTCCCAGCTGGGAGCAAACACGGCAGCTGGAGATGGAGAGCCCCCACCTTCCAGACAGTTTGCAATCAAAGATGCATTTGCCCGACAATGCAAACATGTTGGTGTTCCTTGCATATATAATAATATATATATATATAATAATATATATACATATAATTATATATATATATATATATATAGAGAGAGAGAGAGAGAGAGAGCTCTGTTTTCCAGCCTGAGTCTATTTAATTTATTGTTGTGTGTGATTTCATTAATTTTTTATAATTGTATTTATTTGTTTATTTATTATATATAATGTATATATTTTAATATTATTTCACATTTCATTTGCAATGTTGAATGTTCAATGTTCAATAAAAAAGTTCTGTTTGAAAGGATGTACTTGAATTATTATTATTATATATTATCATTATGTCAGTGGTCTAAAATGGTCTTACAATGGTGCCGACAATATTATCGTTTATCGCAATAATTTCCAGGAAAATGTATCGTCCAACAAAATTAATTATTGTGACAGGCCTAGCTGCAAGCATGGGCAAGTAAGTATATACTTCAACTCTATGAATGTTCAACTAAAAAGAGAAAAATATGTGCTGCTTAGAATCAGATACATTTTTCTTTTGATCACTTGGAGGGCAATTTTTGCAGTCCATCCTCTGACACAGCTGTTAGAGCCTGAACGGAATACTATGCAACACAGGCTCAAAAGCTAACCCACGGCATTATAAAAAGAAATTGATTCAAATACAAATATTATGAAACACCAATAAGTGGTAAACAGCCAATGAAGGTCTGAGAGAAATGTCCCAGAAGCCCCAGAAGAACTTCTACATGACAGACTTCAGCAAACCTTCCTCCTAATAAAAGGTTACCTGCCAAACTCAAAGAGATTCCCCAGAGCCAAAATCTGTGATCTACCAGTCACCTTGTATCCCAAGCAACTGTCCGAGGCAGTGATCCGTGGCTAATCCACACTGGATTGATCCAGCCTGTTTGTGTCAACAGTCTTTAGGGATGCTGATGCTTTCTCTCTGAAGAACACAGATAGTGCTTCACAGAACACAGCTAAAGGACCAGGTTATGGCTTGAAACATACTACATGAATCATGCTCAGTTACAGAGGTACCTGTCAGCACAGTGGATCCTGGTAAGCATTCCTGTGAAGGTCACGTATGTCAAACAACCTGTGTGTGTGAACAAACACACACACACACACACACACACACCCATGTGCTCAAGATTACACACATTCTTAAACAGCAAGCGAACATTAAATCAATACAGAATGTTCTTGTAAAGATGAGTACACACTACAGGGGTGATGTTGGGGTTGAGAAAAATGTGACGCAATTCATAGAGACTTGGCTTCTTATTGATGATATTTTGGGGGTTTGAATATTATGTTTTTTTATAATAATACATACATTCTCCATGCTAAAAATGGCTATAGTAAGCTATTTGGGTTAATTGCGAAGTTTGTTAGTGACATTATTCCAACAAAAAAACCTTCAATCCTATCTTAGTCATCCAAAAACTGTGCCCGTGTCTCGAAAAAGACACAGTGACTAAAACTGGATAACCCACCCACACAGCTTCATTCAGTCCCTGGTGGCATAACGGAGAGACATTCACACAAGGATTTTGGGTTGTATACCAAATACCAAGCTGGCTGGCAACAATACACACATCCTTCAGTCTTATATATCTCATCTTGATATCACTGGTATGTCTGAGGAGAGGTGAAAGCGGAGCGTGATGAAGTCAAGATAGTTGAGAGAGCCGATGACACACTGTAGATCAATGACAGCACACATGTCTACACCCCGTAACCTCTTTCTGAACTGTGGTGTTGTGAAAAAAAAAACTTCTTCTTATGGTGGGCAGTGCTGCTGGACACATGCACTCACACCAGCAGGCAGAATGACCCAGACTCAGTGCTCTAAGGACATTGCACAATTAATGTCCATGACTCATGTTTACTTATAGCCCTACTTAACCTGTATGTGCAATTGCAGTACTGTAAAAATATGCGATTTAACACATACTTTATTTATTTTTAACCATATTTGTCACTGTTTTTAAACACTGAAGAAGCACAAGAACATGCATTTATTAACACTACCACACAGGCAGTTTTTCCCTACTTTATTGACTGTGTCTGTTCATTAAAACAATGCTTGTAACAAGAAACACACACTCTCCTACAACTATCTCCTAGCCATAAGCATATTGGCCTGTATTAGCATACTATCTACATTAAAGGTTCTCAAAAACAAGCATGGAGTGTTCTGTATGTACAAATAAAAGTGTTTTGTAAGAAACTGTTTGAGTTGTGTGTGTGTGACCAGATGTGACTTTTGTGCATCATCTTTGGTTACCGTTTACAATATCAGTTTTCACTTGTTGCTAGACATGGCCAGGGGGTTATGTTACGCAACAGTTTGCGCTGGCTGAAGAAAGACATAAGTACAGGTGACTTTTACTGCTCTGCTCTCACAGAGACACCACACTGAGTCACAGAAGCTGACACAGACAGGTAGACACCATATGATGTCATCCCAATGATTAGGTCAGCATGGGAACATTCAACGTCCCTCTGCCACACCTTACCATAAACAGTAAGGTCATTTGTTTGAAACAATTCCATTAAATAGTTTCAATTTGTAGTGTTTACAATACATGAAGTCCTGTTTCTTTACAAAACACAACAGTACAATGGTGGGTCTTCATTTAGTGTTTCCAATGTAAAGAAAAAGTACACTTGAGTTAGTTGTTGACGTGTTGCAATTTGACAGAATTGACTTACAGTTTATTGCACAGTTTCTGTTTTCATAGTTGGAAACAAGCTTCGACTTCCTCATATGTTGTCATTTGCTTTGACCTGAATCATGATTCCTACAGGGTAACATTTGAAGCTCTATTGACAGCTGGTGCACAGCTCTTGGTTTGAAGGTAATTACAGGTATAGTGGCAGTTAGTTGCTTTGTAGCTTCACTTTGAAACATGAGAGGAAGAATATTTAACCCTCTATGGAGCAAGAGGCACAACTTTTGAACCCACGTACAGATCATTAAAAGTGCAACAAGTTGAACCTGATACTCACAAATTTCTTTTTCCCATCTCCATCCTCGTAGCTCTTCTTTGATTTCTTGTCCTTCTTGGGACCAGCCGCTGAAGCAGAGTTCCCCGTGTTTGGATCCATACTGATAATTTAATCCGTTTCCTTGAGTTGGGAGACAGAATAAACCCTTGTGGCGGTAATCTCCCCGAACTCAATCGTACAAAAAATAGCAAACGTATCCTCAGAAGGTGTTTCAAAACTTTGTTAAAAAGCCAACTGTTGATTCCCTTGGGCCTAAGCTAGTGCCTTGGCTAACTTAGCCACAATTAGCACAATGCTGCTAATGATTTGGTAGAGAGCCAACTACACCAAACGAGCCCCTCGCTAAACCGCCTGTCTGTATCACTGAAGGAGGGAAATTCAAAGCACAGCCCAAGCCCTCGGAAGGAAAAGTACGAAAACTTCCTGTTGCGTTAATAAAATACAAAAAACGACTTATTCCTATAGTATCCACGTGTGACAGGAACCAATACGTTAAACAAAGTGAACTTTGAGTCTCGAAAGTATGCGGTAATAAGTGAGCTAACTGTTAGCTTCAGCTACGCTAGCTCTTCTGACAACAGTAGGTAAAGCCCCGTGGAAAGAAAAAAACTCCGCTCTTCCCACTTCCACCAGTTGTTTCGGCGACTACAACACGGGTGACGAGATGGTATTACGGATGAATTGGCCCGACTTGTTTTCTAAATTAGTTTCCATGACTGCTACAAGTTTATTTAACTTTTAACCCCTAAATGACAGGGGGAAGCGAGCGACTACGGCTTTAGCGGCAGAGGAGTCTTCCTGTTCTTCTGACAGTGGGTCAGAGCTGCTGGGAGGAGCCTGTGCGCTGCAGCTACACCTGAGAGGATTTAGCTGACAGTTCTGCCTGCACAGAGCTGTGGCTCCAGCCGTACTGATATCATTACAGCTCCATGAAAGATTTACCGGGGCGGGATCCCTGGTATAATGAAGACAAGTCTCAATACTTGCTGTCCTGCTACAACAGAGTATGTTAAAGCCCCCCACAGACCGCAGGAAAGCAGAAGCTCTGCACATCTTACGTTGCAAACTGAAAACTCATCTATTAAGAACTGCATGTAGGCCCAAAAAAACTCTGGTTCATGACCTCATCAGACAAAATGTGTATTTATCTGCATACATTATTAGGGTCTGAGACCATAGGTCGGCGAAGACCCTATTGAAATCGGTCGCGCAGCGACCGATAAACCTGCGAAAAACACATAAAAACAGGGAAAACGACCGGCAAAAGCACAGAAAAGGTTCGGAAATAGTAACGGCAGATAGTCCGCGCGAGCCCAGTCACGTGGGCAAAGCCCACGTGATTGCAACTCGCATAATTAATATCGTTACGATCAATTTAGTCGCTCGCGAAGCGAGCGATAACCATGCAAAACCCACTAAAAACAGGGAAAAAGATGGGTAAAAGCCCATTAAAAGTGGCCTAAATCATGACAGTAGGTAGGCCAACGGCCTACAGTGACGTGGGCGTAGCCCACGTCACTGTAAACGAGCACATTATTGATATTGGTCCGATTATTTATTAGGGTCTGAGACCATAGGTCGGCGAAGACCCTATTGAAATCGGTCGCGCAGCGACCGATAAACCTGCGAAAAACACATAAAAACAGGGAAAACGACCGGCAAAAGCACAGAAAAGGTTCGGAAATAGTAACGGCAGATAGTCTGCGCGAGCCCAGTCACGTGGGCGAAGCCCACGTGAATGCAACTCGCATAATTAATATCGTTACGATCAATTTAGTCGCTCGCGAAGCGAGCGATAACCATGCAAAACCCACTAAAAACAGGGGAAAACAGGGGTAAAAGCCCATTAAAAGTGGCCTAAATCATGACAGTAGGTAGCCCACGGCCTACAGTGACGTGGGCGTAGCCCACGTCACTGTTAAACTAGCACATTATTGATATTGGTCCGATTATTTATTATTATTATTCTGATTCTTATTTTAGAACATCGCGCGCACTTTTGAGCCCCGCCACATATGTGAAAACTCAACAAATTTTGCACACGCGTCAGAAGTGCGCAAAATTGCGATGTGTAATTGGTCCCGAAACTTTACGTCAAAAATTGCGTAGGCCACGCCCACTTCCGTTTTTAACGTTAACTCCCCCTACTTTAACTTTCACGTAACCGAACGAAACTCGCTAAGCCTATCTAAGGTGCGGAGACAAACAAAAAAGCCTCTTGGAGGGGTATAAAATAACGTACAGGAAGTCGGCCATTTTGAATTTGGCGTTGAAAAAGGCGTCAAAAAACGCCATTTATCGCGTTTTTCGTCCTCCGCGCAAAATCTATCTCCTCCCAGGGACTTTATCCGTACGACTCGAAATTCGTCGGGTAGCATCTCGAGACATGGGCAATTAAAAGTTATCACGGAAGTTTTTTTCTTTCGCACGGCGCAGCCGTTATTTGGCGCCAAAGTTCGCGTTCGCTCGATGCTAGGCCCATCAAACGCCATGGCCATGGAATACGATGATGTCATAACACCAACTGACATGCTCACAACGCCACCAAACATCACAATGTTGTCTTAAGTCAATGGAAAATGGTCCAATCTACACCAGACTTCAGATGACAGTTAATGGTCCGGCCCTCAACACATTAATATGACAAAAGTGAGTTTTCCTCAAAAGCTGTTGCCATGGCAACGAATCCCTCGCCATAAAACACGGTGTCGCTGTAAATCCAATGGACACGGTCCCATCGTCCCCCAATCTTCACTTTTATATTACTGGTCCATGACTCAACAGCTCTACGTGAAATTTGAGATCTCATCGTATGCCGTTTCCATGGCAACGCATCCCACGCCGTAAAACACGGTGTCGCTGTAAATCCAATGGACACGGTCCCATCGTCCCCCAATCTTCACTTTTATAACACTGGTCCATGACTCAACAGCTCTACGTGAAATCTGAGATCTCACCGTATGCCGTTTCCATGGCAACGCTTCCCACGCCGTAAAACACGATGTTGTCTTAAGTCAATGGAAAATGTTCCAAACTGCACCAGACTTCAGATGACAGTTAATGGTCCAGCCCTCAACAGCTCTACGTGAAATCTGAGATCTCATCGTATGCCGTTTCCATGGCAACGAATCACTCGCCGTAAAACACGATGTTGTCTTACGTCAAGGGAAAATTGTCCAAACTGCACAACACTTCAGATCATGGCTACTAGTCCGGCCCTCAACAGCACTATGTCAATTATGGGATGTCATCATATGCCGTTTCCATGGCAACGCATCCCTCACCAAAAAACACGATGTTGTCTTAATTCAATGGAAAATGGTCCAATCTACACCAGACTTCAGATGACAGTTAATGGTCCGGCCCTCAACACATTAATATGACAAAAGTGAGTTTTCCTCAAAAGCTGTTGCCATGGCAACGAATCCTTCGCCATAAAACACGGTGTCGCTGTAAATCCAATGGACACGGTCCCATCGTCCCCCAATCTTCACTTTTATATTACTGGTCCATGACTCAACAGCTCTACGCGAAATTTGAGATCTCACCGTATGCCGTTTCCATGGCAACGCATCCCTCGCCGTAAAACACGGTGTCGCTGTAAATCCAATCGACACGGTCCCATCGTCCCACAATCTTCACTTTTATATCACTGGTCCATGACTCAACAGCTCTACGCGAAATTTGAGATCTCACCGTATGCCGTTTCCATGGCAACGCATTCCTCGCCATAAAACACGGTGTCGCTGTAAATCCAATCGACACGGTCCCATCGTCCCCCAATCTTCACTTTTATATCACTGGTCCATGACTCAACAGCTCTACGCGAAATTTGAGATCTCACCGTATGCCGTTTCCATGGCAACGCATTCCTCGCCATAAAACACGGTGTCGCTGTAAATCCAATGGACACGGTCCCATCGTCCCCCAATCTTCACTTTTATATCACTGGTCCATGACTCAACAGCTCTACGCGAAATCTGAGATCTCACCGTATGCCGTTTCCATGGCAACGAATCACTCGCCATAAAACACGATGTTGTCTTAATTCAATGGAAAAAGTTCCAAACGGCACCAGACTTCAGATGACAGTTAATGGTCCGGCCCTCAACAGCTCAATATGACAATAGTGAGTTTTCCTCAAAAGCTGTTTCCATGGCAACGCATCCTTCGCCATAAAACACAATGTTGTCTTAAGTCAATGGAAAAGCTTCCAAACGGCACCAGACTTCAGATGACAGTTAATGGTCCGGCCCTCAACAGCTCAATATGACAATAGTGAGTTTTCCTCAAAAGCTGTTTCCATGGCAACGCATCCTTCGCCATAAAACACGATGTTGTCCTAACTCACTGGAAAAACGTCCAAACGGCACCAGACATCAGATGATGGCTAATGGTCCGGCCCTCAACACATCTAGGCGTATTATGGGGTGTCATCAAATTCCGTTGCCATGGCGACAGATCACTCGCCATCAAACACAATGTTTATGATACTGCTGTAACTCCCATTTACGTTGTCCGATCGGCCTGAAACTTCCCACGTTTGCCAACGGCCGAGTCCGGAAAACTCCTGCATGATACCTCGACGTGCGGACAACAGCCTGCGGAGCGTCGAAGACCCGCTCAACGCTGCTTGCAGCTTTAATTATTATTATTATTTGAACTCTTATTACGCACTTTTGACCCCCGCCACATATGTGAAAACTCACCAAATTTTGCACACGCGTCAGAAGTGCGCAAAATTGCGATGTGTAATTGGTCCCGGAACTTTACGTCAAAAATTGCGTAGGCCACGCCCACTTCCGTTTTTAACGTTAACTCCCCCTACTTTAACTTTCACGTAAACGAACGAAACTCGCTACGCATATCTAAGCTGCGGAGACGAACAAAAAAGCCTCTTGGAGGGGTATAAAATAACGTACAGGAAGTCGGCCATTTTGAATTTGGCGTCGAAAAAGGCGTCAAAAAACGCGATTTATCGCGTTTTTTGACCTCCGCGCAAAATCTATCTTCTCCCAGGGACTTTATCCGTACGACTCGCAATTCGCCGGGTAGCATCTCGAGACATGGGCAATTAAAAGTTATCACGGAAGTTTTTTTCTTTCGCACGGCGCAGCCGTTATTTGGCGCCAAAGTTCGCGTTCGCTCGATGCTAGGCCCATCAAACGAATACGATGATGTCATCACTCAAACTGACATGCTCACAACGCCACCAAACTTCACAATGTTGTCTTAAGTCAATGGAAAATGGTCCAAACTGCACCAGACTTCAGATGACAGTTAATGGTCCGGCCCTCAACACATTCATATGACAAAAGTGAGTTTTCCTCAAAAGCTGTTGCCATGGCAACGAATCCCTCGCCATAAAACACGGTGTCGCTGTAAATCCAATGGACACGGTCCCATCGTCCCCCAATCTTCACTTTTATATTACTGGTCCATGACTCAACAGCTCTACGTGAAATTTGAGATCTCACCGTATGCCGTTTCCATGGCAACGCATTCCTCGCCATAAAACACGGTGTCGCTGTAAATCCAATCGACACGGTCCCATCGTCCCCCAATCTTCACTTTTATATCACTGGTCCATGACTCAACAGCTCTACGTGAAATCTGAGATCTCACCGTATGCCGTTTCCATGGCAACGCATCCCACGCCGTAAAACACGATGTTGTCTTAATTCAATGGAAAACCTTCCAAACTGCACCAGACTTCAGATGACAGTTAATGGTCCGGCCCTCAACACATTAATATGACAAAACTCAGTTTTCCTCAAAAGCTGTTGCCATGGCAACGAATCCCTCGCCAT